GAGTCGCAAATTTTGTGACGCTAAAATCAGTCACAAAAAATAGTTGCTAATTAATTGTTTTCTTGTAGTGATAGAAGCAGAGAAAATCTTGTATATTCAAGAGAAGGAAAGATGAAATGAGTAGAGTTAGAAAACTCTATGTCTGACTACACCATCGCTCTCCATCTCCTTTTAAAGATAAGAAACCCTGTAGCACTGCACACTTAACGAGAGAAAATTTAGTGAACAGTATGCCCTCCTTTTCAAGAGGAGGCCCAAAGTAATCAGTATTTCAACCCATTAGTAAACACAAGGCCTCACAGCGCCATTAGTAGTTGAGTCAACAAAACATACTTTCACTAAGTGATACTAGAGTTATCTTATTACTGATGATGAAAGATGCAACAGATATCGTTGAGGAGATGTCTGTCTCACACTGTCAATTCAGAATCATAAGGTAGCGAAAGAAAATTAAGATAAATGAGAAATAAAAGAAGTAACAGTTTATAGAGAAAAAAACGATTTACCAATTCTTGAAGGATACGTATACACACATCATTATCAAGTTACCAGGCCATGTTTGTGTAGAAGGAGATTCAACCCACCAGTATACTAAGGTAGTTGTTTCTCATAGAGTAGCTTTCACACTCAGTGATCAACACATATTAGACTTCACATCAGCATACATGTTCGAAGTTAAGAAGGAAACAAGTCAGAGGAGACGAAGAGAGGCAATGATGGCCTTTGGTTAGATACCCCCCCCCATATTTCTTAGAGAAGGTAACAGGTCTGGACTTTTCTCCCCATGTGTAAACCCCCCCTTTTTTGTTTTAGGTTAGGACTTTTCTCCCCGCTGTGTTATACCCTGTATTTCTTTTTAAGGACCAGGACTTTTCTCCCCCTAGATTTCTTTGACCACTTTTTTGGTAGTCTTTCCAATTCTTTTGATAGGATTCAGAATCGATTCCTAGTAGATCAGAGAAGATATGCAAAAAGACAAAGAGACAGAAATGAAGGTCCAACATGTATGATGAGTAGCTCTTTCTCTGTGGTGATTTACCGATGAGAGGTTTTTATGGGTGAAAAAGCACCTAATGATTAATAACACTATATGTGACATATATCCTTCAAAGATTAGATCATAAA